AATATATTTATTCACATGTATATATTTATAGCTTAGTAAATTTATATAGAAACTTCAAGCTACCTTAAAAATCTTAAAATGAGCTAGAGAATGAAAAAAATTAACTTTTAAAATCGTCAAAAAATGCAAAATAATAAACATTTTATTCTTATTCAAAAATACATGAAACGTTTATGTTATAGAAGGAGCACTGCAAATTGCATTGAAATCTCAGCTTTAATAACAACAAATAATCAGTAGACTTTGACTAGGATATTTATAAGTTTTAGTTTTGAAGATAAAACATTAAACCATTAATATATGAAAATGTTTAAGGAATTAAAAAAAATTTAAGTTATTAAAACTCAGCTGTACATTAAATAAACTTCATGTAACATATTATTTACAATTAAATTAGGAGAATCTAAGACAAAAAATCAATTAAATTAATTTTGAAATATATTTACCAAAGATTATATTTTTATATTTGACTACATTATTATATACTAAATTATGAATAGGATACTTATCTAAAAAAAAGTCAACTAGATCATATATCAATAATTTAATTTTCCAATTGAATGCCACTTTTTGTAGGAATAGTTAACATAACAATTCATATTATCAGTATATGGTTTAATAGATATGCTTATAATATGGAAAAAAATTGCATTCAATTATAAAAAAAAATTGCTAAGATATTATTTCTAAATTTAAAATACATTGAAATACTAGTAACTTGGAAGTTCATTATTCATTTTGCTAAACATTGAACCAGAGTAACTTTGACGTACAAAATAGGGCTTGTGTGGTATATTGTTTTTATGGTCTGYAACAATATTTTAAAAAAATGCATATTTTAAAGTAAAAATTACATGTTTGATATAATATTTTCATAAAAATAATTTAATACCCTGATGCTGTTTTAAGTTTGATGATACATTATTTTTATAATCATTATTATGTCTTAAGTGAATGTCTCGAATATGTAATGTTTTTGTATCAGTTACAGCACAATCAATTTGAATCATAGTGACGAAATCTGAACCTTTTAAAAAGTTAAATGTAAAGTATCTAATTAATAATTTATTTAAAATATATAGAATCAATTATAATATGTAATTCATACCATTTGATGATAAAGTTGGAAAAACAAGTGACATCTTTGGGCGAAGGGTAGTATTAGAAGCATTATGGCTAGCTGGTAATAATAAATGATCACCAGAAAAAGAAACAACGTAGAATGTATCATCTTGCCTTTCAATGGAGTTAAATAAGCTTTCTTTATTATCTAACTTCAACTGACCAAATATTTCTATGAAATCATTGTTAGATGGAACATGCTTTCTTTTTCTATGAATTTAATATAGTTAAAATATTATGATTAAAAACAGAATTACTTAATTAACTTACTTAAAATTCTTTTTTTG